AAGCAAAATTATTCAGACGCAAGGGTTAAAGGAAGTTGAAACGGGGAGGTTGAGGGACATTAGGACTTTAGGTCTGAATATGAAGTATAGAATTCCCAAATGTTCTATTGATAATCACTGCCATGTGCGGAATATATGTGTGCATGTGTTTTGACTCTAATGCTAGCAGTATTCTTCTTGTCTGCATACTTTGTGTTCAAATGACAAATTAAAAAGTAGATCAACTAGATGGCAAATAATGAGAACATCTTTCCTGTGTAAGACCGTGCATCTGTAGTTAAGAATGGAGACGTGTGCTGTTTCTGTTGTAGGTCAAATGTAATTATCATTTCATGGTGTTTGGCAATATGTAGGGATTACATTTGTTCTCTTTAAGGGATGGTCTAGAATCTCAACTGTTTTACAGAGTGGTGCATTAATGAGTCCTAAACCCAGAAATTAGTTTTTACCAAATCCGGTTCCCTTATCATGAAGTCAACGTTTTTTTTCGTGTGTTTGGTTAGATGCCTGATATAAGATCTGTGCTTATCACAAGTCTAACAGATTTTCACGTTATATTCTATGACATCAAAAACATCATTAAATACATCACTCATGAATGTTAAACCTTATCGTGTTTTAAAAAAGGCTAATAAGTGACTAAATGAGTGAGATAACTAAATATCATCACGCCAAACTTTAGCCACCTTTAGCTTAGCGGTGCTGAGGTGAACACATGCGACTGTGATGTTGTTTTTATAGGTGAACTTTAGCTTTTAACTTCTAGTTACGCTGCAGAAAGCATGAAAATTGTGTTAATATGTAGAGATTATCCCGCTGTACAAATCTTCTGAATATTATTAAAGTGTGTTTGAACGCTTGCTATGCTTACTCCGTGTAGGCCTACTAAATACGTCATCACACTGCACCACACTATACAAAATATTTGTTAGAAGGATCTTTGTGTAACTTGCAGGTTTCATGCAGTGCAGTGTCGTGTTTGTATCTTAAATATGTTCTTTGCTACACTGAACCCACTGGCCTCTTTCCCTCACTGGGTATCAAATAAAACACACACTCTCACACACACACACACAGACACACACACACACACACACACACACACACACACACACACACACACACACACACACACACAAACAGCTTCATGCTGTGATCTTTATTGTTTTTATGACCTGAGAATGTATAACATTTTGAACAAAAAAGACTAGTTGTGAAGTATGATGTTTCAGGTGGTTGGACATGTGATAAGTGAACAGATGAAGTCTGAATACAGGATTAACAGCCTCTTGCTTTGTTTAATCTTTTGCCTTTTTCTGACACATTCAATGCAGTTTAAACTAAAACACATTTAGTCAGCTTTTACTGGTGGCACTTGTTCTATTTCTGTTCACACCAAAAACCTAGTTCTTCTGTTTATTCCAAAGAAACCGCACAACTTCCACATTTTGAAAACTATTGGAAAACAGTTAAAGTAATTCTGTTTCAGATCACAGAAGATCACCATATCCTTATAACTCTCCAACACACCCCCTGCCGGAAATGCCTCGATTGGACTCCTTTGTTTACCTCTATAACATAGTGACATCACTGTGTAACACTCGCATTTCTATTGGCTAAAACTCCAACACATTGTACGTGATAGGCTAGGGGGCGGGACATCTTTAAGCAGTTGACCAATCACAACAGAGCCGTCCAGCTAACCAATCAGTGCAGACTGGGCTCTGGTTTTAGACAGAGGGTGAAAAGAGGTGCTGCAGCACAGGCAGTATGAGAAAAATAAAGCATATAAACATGACATAGTATTGCACAAAATGCAAATATATACCTGCAAATGAGCAGTTGTCTCTCAAGAAAAGTTAGCTTTAATGCCATATATCATATTATATGTAAAAAAACATCGCCGCACACATTATTATATTTTTTAACAGAATGGAATGTACTTCACATGGGTTTACATCCCTGTGTAGGTAAAAGCTGTGTCTCAGAGGGGAATTACTGTAAGAAACATGTCTAACAGCTGTAAGGACAGACTAAACAGAAGCACAAATCACAGACGCTAGATTCGTCCTGCTGTTTCAGGCAGGACAAATCTCAATGCAACTATAAACAAAGGACTTTACCGCACAAAGTTCAATAGCACATTACGGTATGGACAGGTACAAAGGGATTAAGTGTATCATTCTAATTAAATTAATGAAAGACTTGCAAAGTGCATCCTTCCTTATCTTCTGCAGAACTCATCAGACTGTGGCATTTAATTACAGAAGCGGCTGCTTGTGCATAATACTTCATCATTAGTCCAATAACATCAGTCTGAGATTGAAAAACATGTCAGGCTCACTTTACCTCCGTTCTTTTAACAAACTAATGAGCCTATACAGTAGCTTTTTATTTATAGCTATCGTTTTTTTTTCTTGTGGTCTACTTGAACCGTGGTGTCAGTTCTATCAATCAAGACAGCTAATATATAATAATTAATATTGGAGCAATAGTCATCATATTTGTATTTACTTTAAACACTTTGAGATGACAGTTGAGAAGTCCATTTCAAGGAATCTTCTCATCATGGAGTGAAAAATACAATTCCTCCATCCTCGCATACCTCTCTCAAATCCATGTAGAAGGAAACTAAAATGTGACTTAACTCATGGGCTTATTAACTTTAACTGAAACATTTTTTTTTTTTAAATCTGCATCCTCTGCATTCTAGAAGGATGCTTATTGGAGCAACTTTCAACATGCTTGGATCATTTTATATATGCATGCTTTAGCTGCAACTGTAAAGCTAAAGGACTAGGACTGAGATTAATTGTGTTGATAATTATAATCCCCATCATATTGAGTTCACTCTGGCAAATGCAATAGACACTGGGATATCTTTTATTCATTACTGTGTAATGCAACTCACTTTTCTTTTGATTTTAATTAATGAATTGATGGAAAGATGTGCAAAGGGCCACAACTAGCCAAAAATCACCCGTGTGACAAGTTAAGGCTGTCAGCAAAACGGAATCAAGAGGAAAAACAAAATACATGTTATGAGCATGATCAGGCAAAAAAGGGCTGAATCACTAAAGTTGTGTTGCACAAACCTGACCTGTGTGTGAGGAGTTAAGGGCAGGTGCATATAGAGAGTGGCTGATTAAAAATAATGAGGTACATGTGTGCAGATCAGGTGACTGATGATGGCAAGAAAAGCTGAGAGCTACTGCAAAATGATGGAATTGGAACACCGTGCCATATAAACTACCGCATCTAAAAATATGAGCCTGTTGTTGGCCTCTGTGTACAACAACTAAAAAACAACCATTCTTGGAGCGTAACAGATAACATGTAATGTGATTACATCGTCAGGAACCAAAGAAAAGGTAACTGTGTAACTGATGATAATCCAAACGCCTAATTCAACTACCTTGATCCGAAATAAAATAAAAGATTAACTTTGCAGGTGTTGACGATTTTTCAGTTCCTGATGGAGTGGCTTTTTATCCAGCTTCCCTCTGAAAACGAACAGCTCCTTCAGATTTATTATCAAACTGCCACAGCTCGTACTCCTGGTTGATTAGATTCATTACAAAATAAAAATACCTACAAGTCAAATAAAACAGCTAAAAACGTTGCTTTTCATCCCTTCAAATAAAGCACACACCAGTATTTTTCCCATTTAAAAAAAAGTTATTTAATTGGCTGCATAGATTATGCTAATTCAACACATTGGCAAATTCAAAATGTGTACCGGGCCGCGGAGGTGTTACTGCCGGGCCGCCAAATAGCTGTGAGTTTATTGTAATATTTGCAGAATTATAAATATTTTAAAATATTTTATCAAATTAATTTTTATTTTTATTTTCGCACCTATACCAGTCATATTATTTTATCCAAAACATACAAAATAAATCAAAATTGGTTAGCATAAGGTCTCAGGCTCTCGTGCACAGAGAAAGTTACAGGTGCGCCAATAGGAAGTGGAGCACACAGGAGACAACCGTTTAATCGCAGACTGTTATGTTTATGTGGGGAAATGGCAGTGCATACATTATTTGAGATATATTTCGAACTCGGACTTCATTTTAAGGACATTGCGGCCAGGGGTGTAGAGCTATTTTTTTTATTTGTAAAACCTCCTTCACTTCATGAAATGGCTGCAGCATCAGGAGGCAGCCTCTGAGAAGTGCAGCACCAGCGCGTACACACCCGCCTTCACTGTGTTCCCCACTGCAGGCTGCTACGTTTCACACACACACATTGAATGGCCTGATTATTCCCCCTATTACTCCTTGTATGAAGGAAATGTCCGGTCACAAAGGCGCATGATGTCTGTGTGTATGTGCTCTGCTCAGCTCCGCTGTGTGTGTGTGTCTGTTCGGTGCGTTTGTGTGTGTCCAACAACGGCATTTGTTTTAAAATTACCATGAACAGTAATTTACACACATCTGGCCAACTCCATAGGTATGTGGGTGTTCCCAAAAGAAGTTAGTTTAATCTTAATCTCGATGTAGTGCTAAATGCTGTCGGAGTGCACCGGAACGAACGCCCCGGTATGACGTTATTATGGCTGGCAAACAAGCCCAGGGGTCTCCCTGACATTTCAGTTATATCAATATGTGTACAGTGGTCCTAATTTGTTTTAATTGTATCCTGGTTTTAAACGTTGTTAATATGTTTTGGATGCATATTGTTATATTATTTGTTCAGGCTGTTACATACAATCAGCCACTGTTGCCACCTATATTATATATTATATTAATATTTGTAAAGCGGTCCTAATTTTTTGTTTTAATTGTATCCTGGTTTTAAACGTTATTAATATGTTTTGGATGCATATTGGTATTTCTTCAGGCTGTTAAATACAATTAGCCTCTTTTGCCACCTGCTGGTGAGTAAATATTCAAATCAGTTAAAATTGACAACCGGTCCGCACATTTTTTTTAATGTATCTGCCGGTCCTTGGCACAATAAAGGTTGGGAACCCCTGCTTTAAAAGACAGGGATACCAGGTGATAGTAATGTCTAATGTGATTCTGCACACATGGGTCTTTCCTCTCAGCAGTGTTCATCCCAGAGTCCATGGAAGAAGCTGTTTGGGCTGCGCAGGTCTGGTCAGAGCAAACACAATATTACACCTGTAGGTTTCCACCTTAAGGCATATACTAACTGAGTAACTAACACTGGTGTAATGATAAAGAGGACATCACTGGCTTGTTTCACATTATGAAATGTTCCATGCTGATAATGTGCCTTGATATCTGCATGACCACTATGATGCAGAGGACACTGCTTATCTCAGAAACACGACTGTCAATATTTGTTTCTAACCATCTATGTGTGCTCGATGTGGTTTGAAAAATAACGGCATGTCACGGGACAGCATGTGTACTTTTTGTCCCACTGGTGTCTCTATGCAGGTGAATGTTGACACTATTGCTTCTCTCCAGGCCAGCGATGATGATGATGAATCTGAAACGCCTGAATGCATGTCTATCACATCAGCATGTTGGGCCATTTGCTTCTCCCGTCAACCTATTAATCTTCGCTGCTGCCACACTCCTCCCACTCTTACCCACTACACTTTATTCTTTTGCGTCAGGCCCACAGTGAGCAGGTTTCCCAGGAGCGAAATGAGCGCCATCGGCTGGAGCGGGACCTTGAGGAGGCGTCTAGGAGGCTGGCAATGGCTCATCAGGACATCCGCAGACTCACCAATGAGCTGGATGCTGCGAAGAACAACAACCTGGACCCAAGTGGTATGGCGCAAACACTAACAAGCCTATGTTAAACACTATTGCAATGTTCTGTGCACATTATTGTTATAAACATACAAATGATGACATTGACTTGTCATATTTTTTTATAATGTGTAAATCACACATACAGTAGCTTGAATGTCTGCCTCGAATACTTTTCAACATGTTTTGGTTATGCAAGATAACAACCTCCTTTTCTAATGCATACCTTTTTTTTTATTGTAATAGCTAGGTACAGGAATTCATTAGGAGCTTGTAAAAATAAATGTTTTGAAAGGCATTACATTACAACAAAAAATATGCTTATAACCTCAGGTTCTGAGCTCCAGGGAACACTCGAAGAAGTAGAGAACCTGAGGAAGGAAGTGGACAAACTGAAACACTGTGGTGAGATAGACTTGGGTGTGATCTTGAAAATGTCCATTTAGTTTAGGTTTTCTGGAGTTTTTCTTTTCTGTTTGAAAATCCCTGTTGGAGGAGAGTTGTTCAAAATGGTGGGTTTATAGGACTCTGTAGGGTTGAACAACTAGTTTGGATATTACAGATTTCTGCAAAAAAACGACGAAATATAACATTTTTATTTGCTTTATTTATATTTAGGTTAATTTCAATTCTTCACACACATGTATTACAATTATTTAAAATGTAATAATAATTTTAGATACAAGTTACTGATTTAGAAGCTACCTGATTTTCTTCATATTCTTACTCGTTCTTGAATTATGAACTTGGATCATGTTGGTTTTTAATATATAAGTAAACAATCTCACTTTGACAAATGCACAAAGTTCTGTATTCAACCCTCACCAAATGTAAGCTTAAATGTTTCGTACAGTTCGCTTTAAGGACTGAAGAATCATTTTAAACCTGCATCTCAAACTAATTTCTAAGCAAATGTTGGACAAATAAAACACTATGTGAATTCATAACTTCACATAGTAAATAGCAAAACTAGACTGAAAACAATTGATGTTGACCGTCATAGTTTTTCCCTTCACAGACATGATGAAGCTGCAGCGATCCAAAGAGCAAAATGACAAACTAGATGTTGAGAACAGAGCTCTGAGGGAGAGAGTCCACACTTTAGAGTCAGAGAAGAGAAATCTCTTGGACAAGGTATTTGAATTATTTTTGTTCAAATAACTTATTATGTTGTCGCAGAAGTTTGACATTATTTGGTGTTGTGTTTGTCCAGTCGGCAATACATGACACAGACGTAGATGTTACCAAAGAGGATGAAAAGAACAGGAGCTTCAGCAGTGAACCACAAAACAATCTATCCTGCTCGCCAACCGAAGAAAAAGATAACATGCACAAACGGTATACATAACTGCCGCCTGGGAAACCGAGCGATTAAATAATGTTGACGTTCGTTTAGACTGTTTATACTGCTTTGACTTGAACCATTGTTATTCTCTGTCAGGTGTCATGAGGCGATGGAAGACAGGCTTGTTCAGATGAAGGAGCTGAAACGGCAGCTCCAGAGGATACGCAAGGAACAGGAAGAGCTGGAGGAGAGGAACGAGGAGCTGGAGGCGCTGCTGGGGGAGGCCCAGAATGCCAGCAAGGGGGAGAGGCACCGGCACGAGGGGGAGCTGGAGGGACTGCACAGGAGGGTAATGAAAAGCACACACTTCCTAAAAAACGTTTTCTTAACTGCAGGAGGGTTGTATGGATTACTTACTAAATTAAAGGAATCTTAGAAGTATTTTACTTGTGGAAAGTATGATGGCGTGTTTGATAGCGTGCCATTGTAGGGTGGAACAAATTGTACCACAGAGCTTTTGGAAGGGGGTAATATTTCTAAAAGAAATCTGGGTTATTCACTGAGATTACAAAATTGTAAAATTGCAAGTAAAAGCTCAGATTTCTTTATGAAATGACAGATGTGTTAGAAGAGAATGTTTCACTTCCAGAACAGGATCAACCTCATCCCACCACCACGTCAAGCATTTTCTCTTAAATGTTGGAGTTTTTTTAAACTTATTTTACTACTCTAATTTCTGAGAGAACCTGATTTTATTACTCGGAAATGTATGAGTCATCCTCAGAAAGTTTGAGTTTTTCCTGTAGATCTAGCCCCGTTGCCTGGCATCATAATTTATTTGAGATTCATTAATGCCAGTTGTTGACTAGAATTACTCAAACAGTATTGTGAACCATCATCTCTCTAATGGCTGAGTGAGTAATAATCTTAACTTGTCTCTGCAGATCAAAGGGCTGGAGGCAGAGCTGAAGAAGCAGGATGTCCAAGACAAAATGTTAAAGAATGGAGAAGAAGCCACCGAGTCCTTCTTACAGCTGGTAAAACCTCACTCACTCAATATCACTGTGCTCATTTTACAGTGGGGTGACAACACAGACAAAACACTTAGACTTGTGACAATCCACAGGTTCAAATAAAGCACAACGAGCTGTTACTAATGCTTATAATTTGAAATAAAGTAATTTTTTCTATTAGCTTCGACAGGTCAATAAATGTAGCTGAAAGAGGTATAGCGATTAAGGAAAACTGTTCCCAAATTTGACTAAAATAAATCTCCTTTGGATTTGAACAGAATAACAGAAACAGGTTTTATTGTATCATCACGTTCTTGCAATAGTTCCTTATCACATTTCCATTCATATGATGGTTAATGTAAAAAATAAGAATACACTTTAATGACCCAACTATAACTTTAACTATCAGCCTGCGTAGATTAGATGATGGCCCATAAAGAGAGTTTATATGCTTCAAATTCCATAACAGCAACCTATTAATGCTCTCTATACATTATGTATGAAGCACCTAAGGGACAGCAGCCTGGAGAGATTGGCTCTTCTAGAGGCCCGTCTGACGGAGGAGAAGGACTGGAGGAAGCAGCTGGAGGTGGACCTCAGTGCTGCCCAGGCCGCACTCAAAAAAGACAAGGAGGTAAAAAAAAACAACAATAACAACATCACAGCTAAACATCTATTTTGAAGTAAAGAGATTTTATCTTGAAAATAAGAGTTCCGGTTGTATTTGTTTTAAAGTACAATACTAAAAAGTTAGAGTCGCAAACAACACAGGAACTCTAATTCATCTCTACACCAAAGGCTTTGCAGATAGGTGAACGAGAGCTGAAGAAGCTGAGACTGGAGGTGAACAGCCGTCAGACAGAATGCCAACAAGGAAAAACACTCATCAAGAGCCTCACACAAGTCAAGGGGGAGAAAGCAGTTCTGGAGGAAAAGGTATGTGCCATTTTCAGCTCAGACATGATGAAACAAAGCATTCTTTCTTCAGGGTTAGATTGTTGCTGTTGTAAAAAAATATATACAGTGGGGCAAAAAAGTATTTAGTCAGCCACCAATTGTGCAAGTTCTCCCACTTAAAAAGATGAGAGACCTGTCATTTTCATCCTAGGTATACCTCAACTATGAGAAAAAAAAAATCCAGAAAATCACATTGTCTGATTTTTAAAGACTTTATTTGCAAATTATGGTGGAAAATAAGTATTTGGTCACCTACAAACAAACAAGATTTCTGGCTCTCACAGACCTGTAACTTCTTCTTTAAGAGCCTCCTCTGTCCTCCATTTGTTAACTGTATTAATGGCACCTGTTTGAACTCGTTAT